TAAATGCTAACAGCAAACCCAGCATCGTTTAAATGCTCACCATACACCACGCGGTCATGGGGACACAATCACCCTACAAGGTAATTACTAGAGTGTTAATTAATTGGAGCCAATTACAACCAGCCCAAATGCAAGCTAACATTAAATACCATTCTGACGACACGTACTGGTCTACCTCTAACGCGCCTTGTTCTGTTGATAACCCAGCGGTCTCTAGCCACGCTAAAACCACAAAGATAGACACGTTGGGATCGTAACACGAGCGCCAGATTAGACCCCGATAGTTTCATCCTCGCTAGCAGAGGGATGTCGATTGCCACCCTAGGGTTGTCGATTGCCACCCTAGACGCGGCACTTTCTTACGCCTATCAGGAACGACGGATGAAGTGTATAGGCGTATAAAACAGTTCGCTGGAGTTTTTCATGAATTCCAGAAGCTTTCAGTCAACCGTCCACCGGCGTCACGGTACGCGCACGCCCGCGCCTGGGCGGCACCACTGCTCGCGCATCACCGCGCTCGTTCGGTGCCGAGCCGCGCCACATGCCGCAAGAGGGGGAGTCCGTTGTGGCCAACACCGCTCGGAGGCGTGCCACACGACGACCGGCTCAGGTCCGCGTCACGGTCACAGGTGGTGTCTGGCGATGCCTCCAGCCGGTACAGCTTGGCGGTGGGTCGGCGAGTGAGATTTCCGCGGAGCAGAATTGCTGCAGCACGGCAGCGGCCGTCCGGTCCTTTGATGAGCGAAGCCACCCTGGCCGAGAGTCACCAGCCGCGAGGGCCTCCGCCGTGGGCCAGGATGACCTCGCCAACCGCCGGCAGACGGGTGTGTCGGCCCCGGGGCTGCTCCAGCACCGCAGCACCTGCAGACATTCAGTCAGCCAGTGTCGGATCAGGCAACCCGACACACGTCGACGGCTTCTGCAGGCCCTGTCTAACGTGTCGGAATCATTTCAGTACTCTGGGTTCGCACCCGCTCGAGGGGAATGACACGAAACGTAACACACACGTTATCATCAGTGTCTAGATCTTAGTGTCTTCGTCAGCATACATGGGAATGGAATAGTCGATCACCAACATCCAGAAGGGCCGACATGGCTCTGTCCTGGAATGGTGGCAGAAGGCTCTCCACCTGCCGATGGGGGAGTCCGTTGTGGCACCGACACCTACCGCATGTGCCGACGACCCTGTGCATGGTCCTTCTGTGAATGAAACACTGCAGAGAAAAGAGCAAGGGTGACACGGACGCCCTGCTGGAAACATCGACGATGCCCCTCGTCCACCATCAGCGCAGTGATGTGACTCCACTCGGGCACAACTACTACGCTCGGCCCGTCGGTCCTCGTTGTGGCCAATAGCGGTCCGTCCTCATCCACACGGCGTCTCACCTTCACTAGCGGCGAACCCACTGGCAGAAGGGAACCATCTATCAGCGACTGCAGTTCCCGCGGGACGCCCGACGCAGTGGTAAGTAACAGTGGGTGCAGGTCCGAAGTAATGATCGGCAGGTTCCGATCGCGCCCGAAGGACTACGCATTGCAGCGGCATTACAACTTTAACTTAACGTTTCCGGGCCGGTGCGACACACAGCTCCACGTGGTGACAGTTGAAAGATCACTCTGGAGAAGTGGCGCACGTGTCCCGTCGTCGGGTTATCTGGAGGCTTTTGGGTAGGGGATTTCACGCTTAGCCAAAACATAGAGTGGGGGTACGAAGCAATGACGATTTATTTAAGTGGGGTCATTGCCTTCTCCGAAACGCGCGCCTCGTCTCGGCTGGGTTCCGTGGAGTACCGTACTTCCGCCCTGGGACATGGGCATACACCAGTTCGAAGGTCTGACTGTGGTGGCAGTGGTGGCGCGGCTCCGCTGCCGGCGGCTGCTGCTGCGCCTCCGGTGTCGGCTGTGCAGGCGTCGGCTGTGCACCAGGCGCCGCCCTCGCCCGATCCACCCCTGCTACGCTGGGCGCGCTCATACCGGTCCCGGTGCCGGCCGGGCCCACGACCCAGCTGCAGCAGCTGGGGCTGGCCGAGATGCCGCAGCACCTGACTACCGGCAGCGAACACCGTCCAAAGCCAACGACATGAGATTCGCAGTCTGCTCATTATCGAGGAGGAGCCCCTTCTCTCCCCCTCCCCCGAAGAGCACGTCTGGTCCTTGGGCACGTCCTGCTCTTCCTCATCGTGGTCCATCACGCCGAGTGGTGCGCGCCTCTGGACTGTGGCTGCCGTCCAACGGGCGAACTGTGTCCTGCGGATGACGGCGGCATCGCGGCCTCCGCCGGCTCTCGTCTGCACTGTTCGGCCGTCTCGGCGTGGAGCCGGCGACTGTGCCACCAGACGGCCGTCGAAGCTGAGGACCCGCCCGGCGCCGACGTGGCCGCCGCCGGGCCTGATGCGGCTGACGGTCCAGCACCGGTCACCGCTGCCGACCAACCGGTGGCGCCCCGGGCCCGTCAGGTACTGGCGCAGCTCGTCCAGGTCATCCCGCGCCCGCACCACGTCTACGAACCGGCTACTGCACACCCGACACGGCTGTAGCCTGGCCGACCTCACTGTTGGCGCCGTGCCGTGTCACGACGTCGCCGTCCTTCAGCCGCACAAAGTCGGTCAGCATACGGCACGAGGTGCACGGCTTGGCCGAGAGCGAGGCCGCCTCCACCAGCCACACCGCGCTCCGAATCAGCCCGTCATGGCCCGACCGGCACCAGTGGCACTTGATGCACGGGGGTTCTCGCCAGACCCGACTGCTTCACTGCTGTCAGCCGAATCAGGCCGGCGGTCGGCAGGCGACAGCGGCGGGCAGCCGGGCCGCCGTCACGGCTCGGTTGGCTGCTCACCGCACCCGATGCCGCTGCTGCCCCACTGCAGCGGCCCGGCAGTAATACTTCAGCATGCACCACTGCATTCGCCGCCGCCGCTAACCTCCTTCGTTGTTCATTCAAGCCCCTCTGGAACAAGAACAGAATAAAGCCCCATAACGCGGGGAAGCCCGGTGCCAGAGGCGAAAGAAGGAACACAAACAGTTCGCCGATGCACAGGAAAGCGCAAAAGATTATTTTAGGAATGTTTTTGTCAATGACCAACGCCACAAGAGCTGCCGCACTCAGGCAGCGCCAACTAATGACGGCACGAGCGGGAGATCAGACCGCAACAATGCAATGACGTCACGCAACATACAGCAACTCAACCTTTCAATTCAAACTCCATTTGCTTGGTGGCAGCAAGCGCTACCTATACCAATGAGCTACACCTTCCGCCGCTGGTGGCAGGAGCATCGGCGGGTTGTGTATACTGAATTGGCATGGATGTCTGAATGCGTTCCATTGGTTAATTAATTGACATACTCCATGGCAGCTCTCATTATTGCCTTATCATTTTTTTGCCAACTTTGCCACAAGTAACAGCCATGATTGATTAATCGTTCTGACAACGCCGGTGTTTCATTCTTCCTGTTGGGTACCGCCGTAAGCTGGGTCTGCCCCGTGGTGCTCGGGTGGTTATCGTACGTTTGACTATTCAAATCCTGTTCGGTCTTTTTTCATCTACTCGGCATTAACACATGCGTATCATGAATGTGTCGTAACTATTCCGGAGATGGATTAATTTCGTGAACAGTTGAACTGCAGACGAACGTGACGTCACGACGTCGACGCAAAATCAAGGTGCGGGAACGCTCGAGATGCACCTATGTGCTAAATGCAGGTTTTTATGGGGAACGTCAAATCTGCTTGCCTTAATTTACGTCTACATGTCTTCGTCCACCTGCCTTTAAGCCTGCGGAAAAATTTGGTCGCAAAAAAAGATCTCCAGCCACCTGGGCTGCTCTTTTTAAAATGAGACTGACTCTTAGCGTGTTTGTTGTTATAATTCATTGCACAAAAGGACCCAGTGAGAGCCAGCACTGCCTAGCTCAGTACACCATCAATTCGGTGCTATTCAGTGTAATTCACGTTGTATTAAACAGAAGAGCAGTTACTGTGTTCTTCAGGAGGTGCCTACGCAAGTCAGGGCCATCCGATCCCGTGGTGATGTAAATATGTGCCTGATGATGGTGTCCCTTCTCAGATGGGACACTTTGCCGACATTCTGGCACGTCTGCTAACTGAGACGAGCGGCTGGTCGCTGGTCGTACAATTTACATACTTACTTGTGTAACATATTACCGAGATAAAATGGCAAGTGACTGCTATTGTTACTTTGCCCGTACACATTCCGTGCGCAGGCGCTGGGAGGCATTATTGGTTCTCACGGAATAGGACGCACTATGCGTTGGCCGCCATGATCAGCCAGAGAACCCATTGCCGCGGTCACAGACCGACACTGCAGACGTACGGCGGCTCCGCCCAAATGTATAGGGCTAGCTAATAAAAGACCGGCTATTAACCGCTAACTAATGAGATCAAGCTTGACGGCTGGCGTCGTTGGCAGTTCAGCCAATGACAAGACAGCATGGCGTCAGCGATCCGCAGCACGGCGGCCATTGGTCAACAGCCTCGGGGAGGCCAGTTAACGCGCTGCGGGTCTCGGGTTCGTCTCGCCGCTGCTGCAGCATTGCCGTGTGTTCACTATCGCCGCGTAGTCGTGACTGCAGCATTGTCAGATGTGTGCGACGGCTGCACCAGTGGCGTCGGGCAGCCAGCGGTCGGACGGGACGCAGGTGTGCGGTGTTCGGTGATGTGCGGCCAGCGGAAGTTACGTTTTCCGTGCGCGTGCGACTAACGGGCGGCCCGTAGACCAGCACAGGAGACAGCAGACCACTGTCTGCGGACGGGTCGGTGACACGAGCGTCCGGACCAAGCACCGGCCGGCCACAGGCTCGCCCGCCAACCGGGGGCGGCCCAGTGCAGACGCTCCACCGGCGGCCAGCTGGGACGCAGTCAGACCTTGCCAACGAGCCGCCTGTCAACACATGGCTGTGGCGTGCGGGACGGTGGCGGCGCACCTGACTGGGCAGGGCCGCAGCACTGTGGCCTGTGTGATGCTCACTGTGGCAGGCTCACCTCATATTCCCTTTTCCCATTCCCTCAGACGGAGCGGGCCGGGCGGCAGCGGCAGCAGATCCTGCAGATACCGACCTGCCGGCAGAGCGTGGGTCGACATCAGCCACCGAACGCTCACGGCGGCTTGCTCACACAAACACCGGTCACCGCAGCACTGGGTCATGGTCTTCTTACCGCGGCAACCCAGGCGCCACGTGAACAAGCGACCGCCGGGGGTGCAGTGCAGCAATGGAAGGTAACACGGTCACCCAGACGGTGCAACGTTATTTGACGTCACCAACAGCGGTCCAACATCGCCGAGGGTAACAGAGGGCGGTGGGTCAAAATAGTGGGGTTAAGAATAGCCGCCTTTGGAGGCACGTCTAACGTAAGCGGTGCCAGCTCAAATGCCCCCGGCGAGGATATGGTGCGATGCATTTTCAACGTGCAATCACTGCTTAGTTAGCTGACTCGGAGCTTAGCCGTCGGACCAGACTTGGCGCGACAATTCCAGCCTCCGATAAATAGCCTGGGGCGCATAATCAACGATCCCACTGACGGAGCGACTGACGCTCAGTTCGCTCCATCCGTCGACACAGAGGGGAGCGGGTACGACATCCACCTACCGTCGACCTCGAGTGTGACGTCACGATCCGGGGACAGCTGACGCAACAGGCTGTATACCAGGGACCTGGTCCGGCGTAGGTCAGACAACCACCACAGTACCGTCAGTGACGGACAGCCGAGCACCAGCCTGCAACAGAGCACAGCACAGGTCACGCCCAGAACACCGGCACACGGCGGAACAAAGGGCACGCCACCTACGTGCTCCGTGGCGCGTCACGCGCCCCATCAACTGTTCGCCAGCGTCAGCAGACGTTAGCCTGCGAGGCTTCCGCCGCCGTAACAGCGGGTGCCGCCCCCTGCAGCCGGCTCTGACTGGACGGACGACGCGGTGGGGAGCCCGGTGTGACGTCAGACCCCGTCCCGGCCGTAACACCCCGGGCACATGGGGCTTGCACCACGTGACGGCCCTAAGAGCCGGACGTACAGTGCTGTCTCGTGGTGAGCTCAGCTGCAGAGGAGCGGACTCTACGGCCACCGGTATGGGCCGGCACAGGGTCACACCTACGAGGGGATGGCGACGAGGAGGGGACAGGACGAGCACACCGCAGGGAAGGGCACAGCCTGGTTCATTAAGGCTGCAGTTCACTGGCCGTTCAGCACTGGCCCGTCTTTGGCCAGGCTTAAACTACTGATCGAGGTCACATATCAGCTGCCTCGGCTGGGCTCGGGTGGGCAGGAAACACACCGAGAGCTAAACAACAGCAAGCAGACTCCCAGGGTGTCCAGGCCAAGTGAAACGCCGCCAGTTTGCAATACTCCTCATCTAACTGCCTTCGCCACGTCCTCCACAGGTGAGCTCACTGTGTGACACCATCTGTTGAACAAGACCGGCATCCGGACAGGTTCAGCATCCTTAAGCGGGGCCCGTGTAGCCGGTCCAGTGTGGCGTCCGCCACAGTGTCCAGCCAGGACAGGTCCAGCGCACGCAGCTGCCTGAGCCGCGGCAGGCAGTCCAGGCCAAAAGCCGTCACCCCGTCACACACTGAAACACACAAGAAGCCGGACCGATTCCAATGCATCAGCACTGTCACGTGATCACCAGATGACGTCAGAACATTAACAGCGGCTGAACCGCTGGTGCTGAAAACAACACCGCCTGTCGCAACCCCATGGCAGAGCCACGGTATGCGGGGTCGGGAGCGCGTCCTACTGATATGGAACAGCTGGTTTTAATGCGTCACTTCAGCTGCACCATCACCGTGTTGCCACTACGGCATATAAGGAAACTGCGCGATGTGGAATATGCTCACCGCGTATCTCGAGTGTGTGCAAGCCTGGCAGCAGGTCGGGCAGCCGCTGCAACGTGGCATCGGTGACTCCACGGGAGTACGCCACGTCCAGGTGTCGGAGGGAGGGGAGGCCGGCCGGCGGCAGGCAGAGCTCCAACGCCGGCTCCAGCAACCACGCCGTCAGCCGCTCCAGCTGTGGACAGCCGGCCAGCCCCGCCGCCAGGTCTGCCGCCTGCAGCCCCTTCACATATGACACGTTCAGCTGCCGCAGCCGACGACAGCGGATCAGCTGACGCAGGCAGGCCGACTGTAGATGTTGACACCAGGCCACCGAGAGGGTCTCCAATGACTCGGGGAGCAGCGACAAACACTCTCCCCGCACGGTACTCCGCGCCACGTCAAGCCGCCGCAGGGACGGCAGGCGGCGAAGCAGCACCTCCGCGCACCGCTCGGCGGACCCGCGAGGCATCGTGACGGCCTCTAGCTGGGGACACCTGGTCCACAGCCCCTCCAGAGACTGTGGGTCCGCGCCGAAGTGGAGCAAGTTCACTTCTACCAGGTGTCTTAAGAGCCGGGCTGGAACGACACAAGGGTTTCAGTTTCAGAAAGCGCTGCGTCGTGCAGCCTTTGCCCTCGCTCCCAGACTCCTTCCGATAACACCACGACTGACACATGTGCCATTAAATGATAACGCTTTAGTGGCGTCTGTCGCACTCACACTGACACAACGCGCCAAACACTTACAGACGACGTCAACGGATAACGGAGGCCGCGGTGACTCGGTGCCATATTGGGTTGTGAGCCGCCGCAGGGACGGCATGCGGCGTAACAGCCGCCACAGGCGCTCATTGTTGGCGTGCCGCATGTCGCCCTTGGTAAGGTGTAGGTGGTGGCGGCGCCCCAGGCTGTCGTCCACTGCCTGGCGCCAGCGACGCGACACTGCCGGTACCGACAGAGCACACCGTACAGCGGACCGCAGCGGCGCAGACGACGTTCATGTGCGACAAAAACATTTCCGCCGGTCAGCACACCAAACCAGTGACAACGTTTGTCGCGCAAGCGTGACAGTGAGTTGAAAACACACGTCACTGCCATTTCGCTGCGAGAGTAGGAGATCTTACGCTGGCGGCGGCTAGCGGCCAGGTCGCTGGCAGTTGGTGATGGCATTCCTGCTCGGAAGACCGGCGCGAGCAATCCGCATCAAGCAGCCCCGTAGACAAATAACATAACAATTCGAGCACTGGAGAGCTTTAAGTCTGGACCCTTGCGACGACAAAGCAGTACGTAATGCAAATGGGGCCCGAGAAAATAGTACGACAAATTATCTCAAACTGAAGCTGACACCAGTCGACCATGCCACCATTCAGCGTGATCATTACCTTGACGTTGCACGACCTGGAGGGTTAGAGGGTTATCTTCGGCATATCTTTTTTCGACTTCTTTAGAAATTATACGTTGGACTTAATTTTTCCACACTTGAACAACGTGAAAAACTTACGTCTGCATTCTAAGCAGCACTTTTACACTATTCATCACGACTTTCACAAAATGCATTCACGTTTAAAGATGACATTTACAACAGATTTCGAGTACAAGCTGAACGCTCTGCCTCTCTCCTTCCCCACCGCCTTTCTCAAACTGCCTCCTATTTCTCTGACATTTGCCAGCACAATTTTTAACAATACGCCACGCGCTTTAGTGTCGCGCTTGCTGTAGGCTTGGTCTTCTTCAAGGGCGGGGCGTGTGATGGCAAAATATCAGACACGGCCCACACTAACATTGCTTTGGGTGGTCTCGAGGGCTTGGTCTTGAAGACTTGAGGAGGGGGGGGGGGGAGAAGGGAATGTGCGGGAGGGAGAGGGGCAATTGTCTGGCAGCACTGAACAGTCGGTTCCGTGTTGATCGGGACGTGCGGGCCCATTTCCTTTGCAGGAAGAAGTCCGCGGCCCGCGATTTACATGGGTCGGGGCCCCTGAGCCAATGAAGGCCTTCCAGTGTCGGCTCGGGGCCTACAGAACCTAGAAGTGCGTCTTTTGTCGGGCAAAGGCCACTATACGGCCACGGCCAGTGTTCAAGGAGCCCACACGGCTCATAGGGTGTAAGGGCGCGAATGGAGGGCCCGGAGGGCACAAGTGCTTGTTGCAGGTCACATTAAGGACCCCGGCTCCAAGAACAAGGTCCTCAAATGTCAGTCAGTGGGCCTATTGCACCGACTGTAGACCCCTTGCGACAATGCGATCGTCGATTTTATCCAGACCACCAACGCAGAACGGTTGGATGCGTGTCAGTCTGGGCCCTAGGGACATATTTTTCAAGCAAGCAAGAGGCCCGGGCCCGAGATTGGCGCTGGTAGGAGCCGCTGAAATAATAGGGGATCCTGTGTCGGTCAGGGGCCCATAGTGTCTTCGGTGCTGACAAGGGGCCTTGAGTCATCCAGGGGAACGTTTACTGAACTTGGACAGGGACGGGACCTCGAATGTCACAGGGCCTATTGCGTTGACACTCTCGGACCAACGTGACCTTCCGTCTGGACGTTGTCCGTCGCCTGGCATTTGTCACGGGGTAAACGCAGTGAGGCCTAAGGAGACTGGAACGCCGGGCGTCCGGGTGTTTCACATGCGAGCGCGCGTATTCAAAAATATGGTACATCACGCAGGACTACTCGGTTCTCAATGACGGTTGAACAACAGCAGAGCATGCCAATAGAAGTTATCGACCTCGTTGTGATCTACAATCTACGTTCACGGGCCCTCGATATCTCTGTAGAATCCAGAAAAAATACCGACAAGGGACCTGAGCGTTAGGCACCACTCGCTGCTCTTGGTTCAGAAAGAGTCCACTGAACCATTGTAACATGAATAGCGCCCGTGGTTTATTCCATGTAGTCATTAAATCCTGTTTTTTCACTTTATTCACTTCAAAATGCTGCGAGAAGGACATCTTGCGGTGGCTTACCTATGTGTTTTGTTTGACATATGGGTGAAGGCAAAAATCAGTTATGCTTTTTAGGGGGATGACATATTATAACCAGGGACCTTATGTCGACCCTGCACTCTTTCGCCTTACCAAGATTCCGGCTGAGCCCCTAGTCGCCGTGATAGCCACGACTGTCGTGTGCTCATGACTAGATAAGAAGGTCCGGTGGACGGATCTACGGTCCATGTGCTTTGAGATAAACAACACTGGCAGTGGTGGTCACCTTGGATATGAAGGGAGAGGTTGGAGAGGTTGTGGCCGGTGGGGTGGGATTGGGTGCTAGTGACGTACAGTCCTGTTCCCCGCCTCTCATGAAGCGTCCGCTCAGGACTCTCGAATTACCAAGGTAAGCTTCTTGGGACTCGATACTGCCATCTGCGGATGCTAATTATTCTTACAAATTCATGTTGCATACTGTCTCAGGAAAGTACCAACACACGACTACAGAAAGGAGAATCAACATCACATCCATGGCACCAAGTCATGTGTCTTGCAGTTGACGAAGTAGTCGATAGCTGGCTAACCAGTCTACAAACTGCCATGACCGATAACATAGGCAGACATCGTACGTAAAGAAGAGCCAGGAGGATCTACAATGCCAACTCCAGCCGAACCATAGTTTCTCACGCAAAGCTGGTCATCGCCGCCAAAGAGGAACGCTTCCAATCTGCCCCCTTGATCTTTCGAAGATGTGGCGCAGACTCACTGAGAAGCTCACAAGGCTCATCACAATAATCGTAACCCATAAGGCTTGTGGCCAACGTTCTGCCAGGTCTTGGTAGAGCATCGATTATATGGGAGTGATATGTGAGTGGACAGGCACAACAGCTTAAAATGCCTTGCAGTTTTCATCATAATGGTCCGGGATGTCCCTATTCTCTTTGTTTTGTAGGGATATGCAGCCGTGATATTAGTGAGCCGTCGCAATTACTGCATCACATTGAGACAAGTACATCAATGCATTGTTTTAATGGTTAGTGTTTGGTTTGTTGCCAGGAGAGCTGACGTTGACCGTTTGCCAAAGCGGACGGGGAGGAGCGCAGTTGGCCACAGCAATACAATAAGGCATTTATAAAAATAAAGCGGGATCAGCCAGTTGACGAACAAAACTTCAGGTAGAAATTAGACTATTGGGTCATCAGCCCCTCTCCTAGTCACTTAGAAAGTTTGATGCCCCTGGGAGTTCAAGATAAGTGAGGCTGTAGGTGAAATCAGGTCATGTGATCAGAACTTAGCGTGAGTGGAATAGTCTGCAATGCACGTGCGAGACCATCATACCAACCATGGGTTTAACCCCTGACAGGTGGGCAGGGGTGGGATAGAGACAGCACTCAGTTATACGGCCCTAGCACTCAGGGGCGGATCCGGAGGGGGGCCACGGGGCCACCCCCCCCCCCCTTGGGCCCCGAAGGGGCCAATTGGCTCCGATGGGGCCCCACAGCCGGCCGAAAAGGTGCAGTTTTTGAAATACAGAGCGCAAAAAAAACTGGGTATCTCTGGGCTTTCAGGCGACCAAGAACTATTGTGAGCAAAAGTGCAGGGCCTATGAAAAGTTGCAAAAAATCTTTCAATGACCGGAAAAGTTGTTAACTGGAAGTTTTAAGCCTTATTACATTGTCTAGAGGCCCCATGCTGTTTGCGGGGGCTTACACGCCCACTTGCAGGATCATTCCGATCGTTAAGGAGCGTTCCACGTTGCCCTTCATCTCTTTGCATTTTCTTAGGGGGACCTGTGCTGTTGTTGGGGCCCTTCCTGTTAGCGTGCCTGGGCAGTCTTGTCAATCATGGGCCCTAACACGGATTCTTTTCATTCGCCAGAAAGGCCCTTAGGTACTTCTTTTCTGAACTGGGGGGGGGGGGCTACGCTCTTGTGGAGTCTATTTGATAGCCTGCTCGGGCACATTTGATCGTTCGGGGGCCCTCTACATTGGGCCTTGGACACGTGCTATTTGAATGGGGCCCTACGCACTTGTCGGGGGTTCCTGTTCGCCTCCTCGGCCATACTGGATTGCTCGGGGGGCCCTGCACATTGTTTCTTGGTGTTTGAATTTAGGGCCCTCTGCTCCTATCGGGGTCATCTGATAACCTGTTCGTGTATGCTCCATCTTTCGGGAGCCCTCCGCACCGGGTTTTTGGGTACTTCTTATTTGAATGGAGGATCTCACACTCCTGTCGGAACCCCTTCTTATAACATCCTCAGGCCCATTCGATAAGGGGAGACCCCTGCATCGGGTCTTGTGTCCTCCCTTTTTCAATGGAGGGCCCTGCGCTCTTTTCGAGGGCCCTATCTGTCAACCTGCTCTGGCGCAGCTGATTATTCTGGGCCCTCTACATCGTGTCGTGAGTACTTCATATTTGATGTTAACCTGCTCTGACGCACTGGATCGTTCGGGGGTCCTCTGCATTAGATCTTGAATACTTACTATTGGAATGGAGGGCCGCACGCTCTTTTTGGGAATCTATCTGTTTACCTCTTCTGGCGCACTCGATCATTCAGGAGCCGTCTACATTGGGCCTTGGCTACTTCCTGTTTGAATGGAGGGCCCTACGCTCTTGACAGGGGCCCGATATGTTAACCTGCTTGGGCGCGCTCCATCGTTCAGAGCCCCACTTTTTGCGTCGTGAGTATTTCTTATTTATATAGATGGCCCCATGTTCTTGGCGGGTCAGAACTAGTCAGCTGCTCGGGCCGGCGGCGGATGCAGAGGGTCGGGGGAGGAGGCACGGGACCATGATCCATGGACCATGCCGAAGGTGACATAAAGGCTCCGAAGGAGCCCATAACCGGCTGGGCGGACGCAGTTTTCTTATAACAAAAATACAACAAAATTGGATGTCTTTAGGCCTACAGGTGACCAAGAACCATTGTTAGCAAAACTGAAGAGTTCATAAGCAAGCAAAGTGTATTCTTCGCTGATTGAGAAAGTTTTTCTTTGGATAAATTGAGGGTCTAATTACGCTATCTAGAGGCATCACGCTGCTGGTTGTTTGACCCTATATGTCCACTTGCCGGGTCAATATGATCGTTAAGGAGCTTTCCACGCTGACCTTGACCCTTTTGCATTTTCTCATTGGGCCCAATGTGCTGCTGGGACGCTATCTGATCCTGAGCCTGAGTCTGAGCACTGTTAATCGGTCAGGTTCTCCTCCACGGATTCTTCCCATTCGCCCGGAAGGCTCCATACACTTTTTCCAGGGGCGCCATATGCCAGCGCACACTCCCAGGGCGCTTCATATAAGTCTCAGATTATTTCTACTTGCTTGGAGGACCTTGCGCTGTTGCTGGGGCTCTTATAACGTAAGGCACGGAAACACTCGATGCTCAGGGGCCCTCTACTTTGATCAGGGCTCTCTCCCTTTGCTCTCATTTGCAGAAGACTCTTCATTCCATTAATTACCAATTACATTCCAATACTTCATTCAGGAGTATTAATTTATGGTCTGGATAACTCCCATTTGCTGAAAGGGTCCTGTGCTATGGCCGGGGCCCTATATGCCAACCTGCCGAATCACTACCGATCGTTTAGGGGCCCACCACGTTGGTCTGGGGTTCTTTTTGCTTGCTTCGAGGACCCTATATTTGTTGACGGGAGCTATTTTGTTGGCCTCCTGCGGCACCCATGATCGCCCATGTTTCGTCCCTACTGGCCTTGGTGCCTTCGTCTGAGAGCAGCAGTCGAATATGCACCGATAAATTTTTACGCGCTATTGCCGAACATAGTTTTACCTACCACAGACGTTGTATGTGTTATTTCCATTGGCTATAAAGTGCGTGCCACTAATTTTACTAGTGCATCACGTTCTCGAAATATTTTGAACGCTAGGACATGTTGTACTCCTTTACAACAAAGGAAATATTCTGCATTAGTCATCAGTCACCAGCTGATAACATCGCACAACCGGCTGGTCGTAAATACTTAAGCTAGGGACTAAGTCCATTCTTGGTGTTGATGGTTGTTAGCCAACACAAGTTTGTTTTGCCTGCTGCTACGAAACACTTAGCCTCAAAATCACAGCACTAAAATGGCCTGTAGGAAATGAATGAGCTTTATGTGTATTAATGCGCAGCACGCCTAGATTTTTAAAGCTGTGCACGGTAAGATGGGTTTCCGTATTTGTTAGCTAACTGAATAAGTAAACACACACACACACACACACACACACACACACACACACACACACACACACACACACACACACACACACACACACACACACACACACACACACACACACACACACACACACACACACACACACACACACACACACACACACACACACATATATATATATATATATATATATATATATATATATATATATATATATATATTACATGCGACATAAGACTTGCCTTAAAACGAAACGACCAAAATGCAAAGATGTTTTTTGGATGGGGCCCCCAAACTCCAGGGGGCCCCACGATGTTGCGTGCCCCCCCCCCCCTTGACGAAATCCTGGATCCACCTCCGCTAGCACCAGCAGAGGGGCCCGCCGCTTCGAAACGCTCATAAATGTCGACATCTACCGCTATCACCGCTGATGGCCTTTGAGACCACCAGATGTCGCTACCAATGCAATACGTACCTGACTCGGAGCCACTGGGGGGGCTGAGGGATCCTTTGCCTGACAGATCGAAACGATCGCGTGAAAAGGTCAGTTTTAGATTTTCCAGCGGTCAAATGCTGATGTCTGTGCGTACTGGACATGACGATGTTGCTTGATCTCAGTACTTATCCTTTTAGGTTCACTTTGGCATGTGTCCGTGCGGTGTTTTATGCATGGCTTGAAAGGGATGTTTCACATTTGAAGATATTGAGATAAGCATCAGATACAACGGGAAAAGCTCACTTGTAGCTATCGGTAAGCGTTCAAGCTTCAAAAACCACCCTACGCAACAAAATTTTAAAGTTGGTAAAAATGCGTCCATTACGTCATTATTTGATGGCGCAATGGAATGGTCTTGTGACGACAGCAATGCCTGGCAGCATCTACCAGCCAGATGCTTAAAAGGCATGAACACAAATTTCTAAGTAAATAATACAATACCATGAACACATGAAAGCACTTTAAGGTGATAGTAATTCCATCACAGTCTTTGACAACCTGACACCAGGTTTGAACATTGTGTGCTCAAGTGCATTCAAGCAAATTGCATACAGATATCAAGGCTGAATTTTTCTTAACTAAGCTATTTTAGTAACACACAGATCACAACTGTACTAGAATGTGTGCGGAGGAAGTTTAGGTGTCAACGCCACACAGTAACCCGTCGCATCTGCTCCCTACCTCCGCGGATCCCCAGCAACTGTGCGGGCGTGAGGTGTTGTAGGATGAGGTCCTGCGTTTTCGCCGGCAGCTGTTCAAAGCTGGTGCACGGTGTTGCCTGGAAACGTTTCATGCAGTCAACTCGAGATGCCCACACAAATTCAGTCATTCGAATCATCACCACGGTCCAGTTGATGCAACACATATACGACGAGGGCAATTTCTTTACCTAAGCATTGTGCTTGACACATTTTCAGCAGGATCATTGCCGGCTGTGACCCACGCCACCCTCAACGCATGGTGTTGGTTCTCACTCTGACTTTGAGCAGCTCAGTGGAAGCTTGAGTCGACTAGGATTCGATTCAAGAAGGTACGGCTCAAGTACAGAATTGACTCCGATGGCTGGATTCCGATGTAACGTATAGCGAATAACCAGCTCTTGAAAGCATGGTATTCATAACATGCTAAACAGGGTACGTGTTCCAACAAAAACACGGCTATCTATGCTTGCGGCTCATCTAGTGTGAATTTAAAGGGAGTGTTCCACATTTGTATGGGGTTTTGAACTGAAATAGCCAATTTGCAGAGCACTTGGTGAAGTTCATAACCCTGACTATGTTAAGACCTAAAGCCATCTAATTTCAGAGCTACACACACGCGAAGATGTGCAGAGTATTTCAACGTCATGGAGGCATGCTTGACGCCGTGAGAACATCGTTCAGATCCTGGCACCCCACAGGCCAGGCGGCGTTCAAGGCAAAGAAGAATTTTATCACCCAGCCGTTCACATCTGGCGTCCGTGAGTGCGGTTTCCAAATAACTCAAAAATCAAGGGGCTCTTCGACAATGCTTAGTAAGCAGTGCAAGCTTTAGTCACGAAACGAGTTTTGTGCCACATCATATAAGAAGTCCGACACAGCTTTTCCACTTAGTAGTTAGCACAGAGAATGGGACTTGTAATCGAGTAACTTAAGAGTAACGCTATAATCGAGTGTTTGGATACAAGTAAACAAATAACGCCATCACTGAGTGTGTGAATGCAAGCAAACATCTTAAATCCGCGACTAAGTAAACAAGAACATCAGGACAGGGGGCCAAGACAAGAACACGTGACAATATTTGGCTCAGCAAACACTTCCAGCCCGTGCTGCTATTTCTCGACGAGTAAGTACTACAAGTAAGTGAAATTTTCGCACGGCTAGTTTGGCATTATCTAAACGTTACACAAACGCCCCATTGCACAATCAAACAATGACGCACCACCGAACATATTTACTGAAATGGAACTTGTGTTGTCTACAGCAGTCTTTTTCGCTCAAAAGTACACCAATAGTTATAAGTGAGTAATTTCATCATATGTGACGCTTGCTTCAACATCTTCAACTGTGGAACATTCTCGCTCAGCTGCCTAACCATGTAGACATCTCTGTGCTAACATTATTATGCAAACTGAACAACCAGCTCGCTAACTTGACGTAGATCTGAAACTGCGGTTCGTTGACCCAAATCCAGTCCGAGTTTCAGTGAAACTACAAAGGTAAAACGATTTCCCTCCACTCAACGGAAAGATGGCCGACGCGGCAATCGATCCCGGGTCCACGTATCATGAAGTCCAGGTGTGCGCAACATCATGCAAATTTAATGTAATGGTAGCAAAATGTCGGCTACATAGCGATTTCGTCGCAGCCTACTTGGATACTTTCGTCTTCTTCCTGGCTCCTCACGTGCTAAAAGTCAGTCCCCGCACAATTTGTGTCATGTTCCTGGGACGTCCCATTTCTCCCATACAATGACGCAAACCTGTCAGTATTCAAATGGCTTTTCAACATCACTGGCAGGCGATTTGATGCTTTCACCTCACGTGTCATGATTTGCGGTCAATTCAATAGTTTGCCCGTGCATACGACAGCCACACTTTATTCAAGGTCACACCGCCTGTGCAAGAGTTTGCTTGCTTATTGATAGCCATGACCATAACCATGATAACCATCAAACCATTTACTTGCTTGTTGATAACCGTTCATAACCATAGCCATTGCTTATCGATAACCGACCCAAAGTATCATTGTTCCTTACTGACCTCACCGGAATGCTGACCTGGTGTCAGTTTGATCCGAGTCTCTTTACAATAGAGGCCGTCGGAGACACCTACCTGCATCATGGCCTGCGCCACCAGGAACTTCCACCGCTTCGTAAGGCCCAAAGATCGCTTCCGCTCGATGCGCTGCTCGTCAGTCAGCCTGTAGTGACGTCACAACATACCATGTGACGTAATGATGTCGGGTGGTGAGACAAAGCACTACGACGATGTTCAGATGCAGAGTGACCAATCATGATTCACAATAGCACACCATCATAGCGCACATGCCCCGTCAGCAAAATGCTTAAGCTTGATGCATGCATCTTATACTAGCAGTTGTCTAAAATGGACCAGTTTCATTGACAGGAAAAGCAAATATCCAGAAGTTGTGTGCATCAAAGAGATGCATCATATGTCGCAGCAACGAGCGAGAATCTATCGTGTTGTATATTCTTTGCACATTACATTGCGTTCGTTTGAAATTTAAAATGCAGTACGCGCAGCTGTTAAACATAGAGCAAAACGCAGATTTAGACTTTTGGTATTCGAATGCACCTCTGGAGCTCAACAAATATCACGTCTTACGCCGAATATGTCGTCGGCAATTGACCACTGCATATCGACCACGCTTTATGCTGCAACCCAAATGCATTTAACGAGGCAAAGCTGGTTGAAGACCACATGGCTGGAGTCAGGCTTGCAAACAGTCCCTTTGATGGTTGAAGTCGAGAACAATTTCTTGCCTGGTGAACGTGCCGAAAGGAACATTGCTATCTCGCCACTGTCATGCCATCACATGGCTGGTCTGGTTGATTCGGGCTGTATGCAAGGAACGCCATAGCACTTACGCTTTGCACTCATTCAGGTCATTCGATACGCACTGACTTCAGATCGGCTCCAGATCAGTTCAGTTACAAGTGCTGTTACATGATACGTATCACATCGGCGGTGACGACTGGCCGGTTGCCCACCACTTCCCAAAATTCCCGCTAAACTGGAAAGCATTGAGCTACATTGAAGTGATGTCAAGTACCCTCCTCACTAAGCATATGGGCGTGGCATCCCCGATGAAGCGTGTGATGGCTGACCGGTCAGCCGACTTAAGTAGCTCTGCCACCTGTACCGTGACAGCGGGGGTAATTTAGAGTTTCCTTTTCCTTAGTATTAAGTCCATACTAGTACGCCTTTCCCCTTCGTGTTCGCATTATTTCACTTCTTGTTTACATTTCCAGCACCGACTGATGATAGCAATGGCTACCACTGATATCCACGTTTCGTTCCAGACCTGTTTCATATAACCCACCGCTTTCTTGGACCGCACGTCGCTCATTCACAGTGAAGTTACACGAGCATCTGCATTCCCAAGTGAGACCCACTTTTGAACTTCTGCTCGTGCACCACCCTCTGCAACAAACGGCTTATTTCGGCCCGACCGATGCCGTCTTGATCTCGAAACAGCCATTGCTCATGGAAACCTACCGTGATACCACATCCACTCGTACCCGCGCGACTGCCCATTGCCCGATGGCTGACCGTCCCGAGCACGCCCCTGAATTTCGTTGACAGCGCCAAGCCGGGCGGAGACACGCATGCGCCGGTGATGTCACGCATAAATGCTCAGATGTCACTTACGCAGATGCCAGATGCCAACTCGCCACTACGGGTGCGTGCAAGACCACGCGACATTCCGTTGAAACTGGTACGATAATTTGCTCAGGAATTGATAGACTGCTGGCTTGATATCGCAGATCTTTCACGGCGGTTGATCTCGGTGACAATGTGTAAAATGTTTTGAAGCCTGTCAGCGCTCATGTGCTTGATTCAGGTTTTTTGGCGGCGATCGCTCATCACACTAACCAGACCGCATCAAGTGCACTGACATGCAAAGCTGGTCGAGCCCAGACCATACGGCGCTTGACCTTCTGGTGTTTATCACCACGACGCAAAACTACAACACCTAAAACTCTAACTTGTCTCATGGCCTCACACGTCAGAAATAAAGCAAGAAGGTCAAATCAGCACGACCAGGCAATTAACATTATAATGCAGGCATAAATCACCATACAGGCTTGAAGCTCTCAAGCAAGTGGGCCTCACACATGTTAACCCACAATCTATCGGCCGTAGCGTCTTCCGTAAGCATAAAACTGCTTCCAGGAAGTGCTCGAGAACTGGCGATACGGTCGCTCACATCAACTAGGACGTTACCACGGCTACCATTTCGCTGCGTAGCAACCGACCTTGCAGCAGTGGCCTCGGCTTGATCCACCGCGTCCCTGCTTTCAGCCGCCCGGCGCAGAGCTCTTTCGAGCTCAGCTCGGAGTGACTGCACCTCACTCTCAAGCTCCTGCCTGGCGATACTGGCTGCGTGGCTGGTGGCCTGCATCGCAGATAGCTCGCCCTTGCTACTGGCCAGGTCCAGCTCCGCCTGGGGGCAACCGTGACGTCACACATCTCCGAGAGCGTGTCCTTATACTGAAGGGGATCGGCTCCATCTGGTGACAGCACTGACTTTACACTCCTCGGGTGAGGTGTTCTTGTTCTTACTACTGGCGAGGCCCACCTTAAACTGGACACAGTAGTGACGTCACATATATAACGGTCAGCGCGCCTTTATTGCCGGTCAAGTCCAATTTCACATGGGAAGTAATGACGTCATCAATGGCATATCATCATATGTCATAACGATTATTTTTCCCGCCTTCTGGTCTGGTACAGATCCGCATAGAATGGGTGCTATCAATTTTCTGGGATTGGGAAGGGGGCGGGGTACAAATCACGATTGGATGAGCTTAAATTGAAGTCGAGAAAACCATCTGACCTGAATGTTTCATTCTGAAACCACAAGTTTAAAAAACGTGCATGCCACGAGGAAAATGGAGGTTACAAAATAATAATTTGTGAAAATCAATAAGACATTTCTTCGCAGCGAATGCACATGCTTTCTAAACACAGCAGTGACGTCACATTTATCAGTCGGGGTGTCTTTATTAAAAGCCAAGTCCATCTTCATCCAGGGATGGCAGTGACGTCACAAGTCTCATTTAGCGTGTCCAGATCACCGGCCAGATCCAGCTTCGCCAGGGAACAGAAGTGAAGCCAAACAACATCGGGACTCGCGAATGTCAGTGAAGGCCTCTTGCATTAATCGGGGATCCGGAAAGGATTAAGGGCCAGTGGTATCGGTCAGGGCGGACAGCGCCTACCAGGGCATCCTTTGTCGGTAAGCGATCCCGATCCAGCCGGGGGCACATTTACAGAACAGGAAGTGGAACGAAACTGCGAATATCAGAAGACCTCTTGCGTTGGTCGGGGCGTCTGGCAACGAAAAGCGATACGTGACACGCAAATCAAACGGGTCAATAAGTGAAAACGGAATGACCCAAATGCCGAACGGGGCCCTTCGTCCTGTTTCAGTCGCGAACCCGATAGTCGAACTGGGGTCCCTGTGCAATTAGTGAATTTATTCATGCCAAACAGTGAACAGGTTGTGGGCGCGAAATGTCCTCAGAGGTCGGCGCGCCGTGAAACCCCATCGTCATCATCCTCCCCATCATCGTCAATGAACCGACTACTAAGTTTCACTAACGCTATTCATGCGTCTAGGTCGTCACGCTGCTGAGAATCGTACTCGCTGGGAAGATAAATTTTAAGATTTGGGAGACAATTTGGGTTTTTGGAAAGCAGCTATAGCCTTCATTTTTCTAAGGGGAAGGGCACATGTCAGATGTACCCCTAACTCTTGAGAAGTTTGTCCTGCACAATCGCCCAGTAGCTTTCGTTAGTAGAAGTAGCTTGCCTCATAGAAGTCTCACCAGTGTGGCCCCGCCCTCGCGCTCCGTGCCCAAAGTTGGTCGACATTCGTTAGGCCGTTTTTACGGAGGTTTATGAAACTAGGCCCAGATCAAGCAACTGAACTGAAAAACCATTACACAAATGACAGCTAGCACACTTACACCGGTGAGCCTTTCTGAGCTTCCACAACATTATACTGGAATTCCACAGCAGTGAACTATTTTCTCTGCGTACCAAAACACGTCCTCATTTAACTTCTTGCTTGCCTGCAGAGCAGTTGGTTCAGCCCACTAACAACTGATGTTTTCAAGCACCTAGGTTTATCTTCTGGCGACGTCGCGCAGATTTATCGGTCAATATTCACTGATCTCCTGTGAACTCACTCTGACCCGCGGCCTCGTGCCTACCTGGTGCCGGCTGCTTTCGGCCCGCTCCAGCAGAGCTCTGCTCTCCTCTAGCTGGACGCCAAGAGCGTCCCTGGCTCGCTCTGAGGCGTCCAACTGCGCCTGGAGCTCGGTCTTCACCCGGACCTCCTCCTCCAGGCGCGCCGCTGTTTCGCCGATCTCGGCCTGGTAGCGCTGGACCGCCTCCTGTTTTCCGGCAATCTGAGGATTGAGAGGGTAAGCAAAGAAGCCCAATGTAAGTCAACAAGATAAAATTATTTCGTTGCGGCTCAGCGCGTGCCATCGTTTCAAATTGGCTTCAACTGCCGCGGTTATACGACTTCTGGCCGTTCTAGCTAAAGATGGTTGTCGTCAATAGAGCCAAAGTTGAGCTTCCGAAAGTTATAGTTAACAGCAGAGAACGGCAGCATAACGGCAGACCAGCATATTGCCTCCAACGGCATGTCGTGATGGCTGATAATAACTTCCCGACACACAGCTATAGCAGGTCACAGTTAGCAAAATCAGGACAGGTGTTCGCATGTGTCAGACAATATTTGCTTTGCCAGAGACACGGGAGAACATGGGCAGCGGAAGCCTTCACCAGATCCAGAGGCTTTTGAACACCAGACAACATGAGTCTGTGGGTCGGCAAGTCTACCTCGTTCTTGCCGGACAGGACCATGTTCTCGCGGCGGATGGAGTCGAGCTGCTGCTGTGACTCCTCATATGCAGCCTTCACCCGGAGTAACTCAGTACTGTAGTTGGCACACGCCTTCCTCGAGGCGTCCAGCTCGGCTGACAGGCCCTCCATCCCCATCTCGCCCTCATCACATGTCTGCAATGCAATAGATAAATATCATTTGCTGCGTTTGCAGAGGAGCAGCCCGAAGTTATCATCCAATTTGTGTTGACAGGATGCTTTAAGGCTTTCCTACTTGCATATACCGTCCACTTCTCCACAAATTTCAGCAAGTCCTTCGACTCGTGTATGAAATTAAACGTTAAGACTTGCTGAAGATTTGGTCCGAACACCCTCGAAAAGTTTCATTCAAAGCATACCACTGTGAATGCCACTACAATGCCAATGCAATGAACGGCCACATTAGCTTCTTTCCAGCGTGAAATAACAGCAACCTTGTGGGTCACATTTTGGCGATGCTCGGCGATGTTGATCACGAAGAGTTAATGTTGAATGTCTTAGGTAGATTCAGTCTGTGCGAGGGGAATGTACCACCGATGGAACCCCGCATTTCACAGCGTTCCGAAAAAAACTCGTCGCCAATTTTTGTCCCACCTATGGTTGGCCTGGTACGTAATCCACCGATTGAAAGGTTGTTTCTGAGAACTCCTAATCCTCGAGATGGTACAAAGTGCTGAGCAGCCAGTCACCATGAGATGTTCATCGCAAGGGCAAAGTGGTGCGTTGAAAATGAGCCA